CTCCCCCTTGGATTTAGCTGATCCTTCCTCCCACTCTTGGCTTCCAGTCACCCTCATGCACCAACCCCCCCCCCCACACACACACACACTGACAAAAAACAAACAGCACCTGTCTAAGCCTCCTTAGATGCATCTTCTTTGCATCCATTGGGAGTCTCTGAGACTGGCCCCATTTGGTCCTAAGAATCCCAAAGGTCTTCTGGGAGCTTCCAGCATGTTAGTTAACATATCATTTGCATACTGACATCCCTTTTGGTTACCTTCTTTTTGTTCATCACTCTTCTCTCAACCTGTGTTTCTTTTTTACTAAGCAATTTAGTCTCTGTTGATCCTTGTATCACACTTTCATGTGCACGATGTTACTTGCAGAGGGTGGGGAGCCTGGGTGTTCGGGGAACCAGGTTGTTCTGGCCCTCAGAATTGCCCCCTCCTAGCCCATCTAGTCCAGTTTGCTTCCCCTATTCCCATTTTCCAAACCTCTTGTACCCTTTCTCCCTCCCCCCAGCTGGTGTGTAAGTGTCTTGGAGTTCAGTGTGTTATGATGGACCAATAATTCTGCCACTTGGGGTCTGTCCCCACATTCCTGCTCCCCAGTTTTCATGTGGGACTGACATTCCCATGGGGTCTCCCTCCCTCCCATTTGCCTGATCCACCTCCTCCTCCCACCAGGAGAATTGGGGGTTGGCCACAATCTGATCTCTTTTGGGAGTGATGGCTACCAGTGTGTGGGGGCTCATCACTGCCTTGGAGAGGAGTGGGGCAGGACAGAGAATCTTCCCAATTCCTGCCTGAAACCTCTGGTCTTACCCCTACTGAGGGTTGGACTGAAAACCCTCCTTCCCAATTTGGGAAGTGTTGCCCCCATCACTGCCCAGCTCCTTTGACTGCCCAACTGAATTTAGGGTTGGGGTATTAGTCACTGCCAATGTGTGTATGGGACTTGCTGGAAAATAGGGATCCTTGCCCTCTCCAGGGCTGTAGAGCCCAGAGAAAGCTGTCCTATCATTGGGTGAAGTGATAGAAGCCTCTAATGTTTTAAATGGCACAAATTTTTAGAGTCTGAGGGTGCAGTTCCTTAACCTGCCACTGGAGGGGCCCCCCAAACTCTATCTTCCCCCCACACTCTAGGTTTTCTGTGTGGAGGGGGAGCAGGGATAGCTAAGCTGTGGTGTGAAAGGGTAGAAGAGATGCTGGGGTGGGGGTGCTGTGTTCTAGACCCCCCCAAATAATCCCAGTGTCCTCTGCCCCCTTCTTCCCCCACCCCATGCCCCCAATTCTGTGGCGCATCCAGATTGTGAAAATGTACAATAAATGTGTAATGAGTATCCAGATGGTGCCTGTTTTAAGATCTTTTTTTAACCAGTGGGAAGAGTATTGGACTTGGAGGTGTATGAATAAAGTTGAAAATCCATTGGTAAGGAACTGGCTTTTTGCAAGAGGCCCTGACCTTGGGCTGTGTAAAGTGTGATTTCCAAAGTGGCCACCGGGGGCACCAGAAGTCGGTAATGGAAAGTGTCAAAACCAGTCCCTGAGCCTGATGAATCCTGTGTTCTGGGGTTCCCGGCTTCTTTTCCTCTCCCTTTCATGAGCATACTCCTTTGTTAGATTTCATTCTGCCCCTCGCTTTAACTCCTGAGGTGCTGTGCAGCTACTCCCGTGGTCATTCACTTCTAGACCTGAAATGGCCACTTCTGAAAATCATTTCTTCCCTTTTGTGCCGAGCACAGTGGAGTCCAGAAGGGGTTAATAAATACTTGTTGAAATAAAGGACCCAGGGAGAGGCAGCTGAGTGGGGGCCTGCTACCCCCACCCCATTGTATGACTTGTGTTAGACTCCACACTGAATTCTCTCAGCCTCCTGGTCCAGGATGCCCCTGATGTAGCACCCTAGCATCCTGTCCCTAAGAGCTTCAATAATGGGTGGAGGGTCGTAGGTGAGCTCTGGAAGACCATCTTCTCTGGACTGCAGCCCAAAGATCCAGAAGTATAGGAAACCTAGATAGTGTGACCCAAACCAGTTGGTTCCTGAAAACTACAAGGGGTGCTTTGAAAAATAGATTTTCAGGCCTGGTCTCTGGATATTAATATTCAGTGGTTCCTAGGGGCCCATGTAATTAAGCTACACAGTCATTATTATAATAGCCAACTTCATCAAGGGCTGACTGTATGCCAAGCAGTGTTCAGGATTTTGCACTTCCATCTCCTGAATCCCTTCCAGGTTAGGGTTCCCATAGGCCCTAGGACTTGCCTTGTAAATAGTGTCAGGACCTGGGTTCAAATTTTAGCCCCATTACTAACTAACATGTTAATTTGGACTGGACATGTTAATTTTGTGCAAGCTCTCTGATCTCGGTCTTATTTGTGAGGTGGGTAGTAATTGAGCCAGCCTCCTTGGAGTTTGTGAGAAGCACCTGGCCTGGCCCACAGAAAATCAGGAAGTAGCTGTCATCGTGAATCGTCTTGATGCAGTGCTAAGATCTGAAGCCCGCTTTATCCTAATGGTCTTCCCTTCCAGCTTTGGGGCGGTGGGCGTGGGATCGGAGGTTTCCTCTGGGACTTAAGGCCCAAGCCCCAGCGCTGAGAATCCTCGTCACAAAGTGCCCACATACAACGTTGCCGCTCACAGCTGCGCCTGCGTTCACGTTATGCTTGCTGCGCCTGCGCGCATACGGTTCTGGGTAACAGTGTCGTCAAGGAAAATCCCCAGCTTCTGGGTAAACAAGTTGCCGCGTGAGACCGCAGGCACGTGTTCCCTACATCTCCAAGACCTCTCAGCCTATGAGAAAGATTGGAGGGCAGGGCTAGCATTTGCGTGGCGGTTCTGGGCAGAGCTGGGATTATTTCCACACCCAATAAGAACTTAGGATATGGGTGGGGGCGTGGCTTCCGGTCAGGTTCCCAATCAACGCGCCTGGGAGGCCCTTCCCGCACGTGTCTCTGTCACTGCGGGTTGGCATGCTGACCAATAAGAAGATGACGGGAGCAAGAGCTGCCAATGGAGGCTGTGCCCGGGCAGAACTGCTGCACGCGGCGCGGGGCATGGGTTGGTGCTCCTAAACCAATGAGCTTGGGGGGCGTGGCAGCCCTGTTGGTGGGCGGGCTTGTTGGAGCCTGTGGAGTCGCTTAGTCCCAATAGTGAGGAAATTTGGACTCTTCGTGAGCGCTGAGCAGTGAGTACCCGGGGGTGGGAAGGAATGAGGGCATTTGATATGGATTTTTCTCGGGTGGTATGTTTGGTCAGGAGGGGTGTTAATGAAGTGGGAAAATCATGCAAATGCGTGATCGCCGTCGTGGGAGCTCACTCTCTGATGGTTGTGGAGAATAGGGACCTCGATCTGGAAGGACGAAGTTGGAAATTATTGACATCAAATCTCACATTGCTTTAGGATTCCTACACCCCTGACTGCCCTGGAAGAGGGTCTTGAAAGTCCTCAGTGACCTGAGAGAGCTGAAGTCTCTGTTCCCAGGGACTCCTGAGAACTGGTGGGGGATGTTCCAGTGTAGGGCTACTTAAGGTGCCTACCTAAGCCATGCATTGGCTTAAGCGCTTGAAAGAGCGTTCTGAGGCCCTAGTAGAATTGGGGGAGGGCACCAAAGGGTTGGCAGTCTTTTGAGAAAGGGCAATGTGATGATTTGTGAGAACGGGAGCCAGTGACAGCTCTGGGTGTCTTTCTCATTCATAAAGGGGAGTTTGGGGTCAGAGCCATACTCGAGGTGCAGTAGCAACTGTTGGGTCCTGATAGGATAGGATTGAGGTTTGTGCAGATTGGCTGTGCGCATGTCTTCCTGAGCCCCTGGAGGTGGGGAGGCACCAACAGGGTGCTCTGGCATCTGTCTGTACAATGGGCCTGTAGTAAAGTGGCCTGGGGTTAGGCAGAAGAGTGAGAAAGTGGGGTTCGTATGAAATCATTGGGGCTGGTGGCTGCTAGGGTGATTTCAAGGACTTTGGGAACAAGGAAAAACAGGCCATGATGGTAAGTGTGTGAGGAGCGCAAACAGAATGTCTTGAAATACGACCCAGGGGGGAGAAGGAGTTGGATGGAGTTTGTGTTCCAGGTGCCAAACTTAGAATCAGATAGATATTTGAGAGGCTCAGGTTTGTCGATGCTGGGATGCAGCTTAGAGGGTGGGTAATACCTTACAGGTTTCTGAAGGGTAAAAAGCCAAAGACAAGCAAACCATTATTAGAGCTCAGATTGAACCTGGACTCCATTTGTTAAAAGCCTGAGAACATAGTATGAGGCAGACAATTTAGGCAAGTTTAGTAACTTCTGAGCTTTAGTGGTCCTCCACAGAATGGGGATAATAATAACTATTTCACAGGATTGTTCTAGGGATTAAATAAAATAATGTATGTTAAGTGGTTAGTATAATGCCTGTGTCATGGTGAAAGATTTATGGGAATGCCATGGCTGGAAACTGTTCTCATATTCTCGTTTTTCTGCACTTTTTCAGGACTCTTCATTTCCCTCTTGGTTTTTCTGGTCTTCGGGCACCAACCCAAATCCCTTCATTCTTTGCTTCTATCTTTTCC